TGCGTGTTTGATCAGTTTCAGAGTGAAGAATTTGGTAGAATTCTTCAATCTCATCATAACTTATTTTCATGGTTGGTGCAGGCTTTCTACTCCCGTAAAGATTTATACCCTCGGAAACCCTATACAGGGTCGCTATGGGTCGGAACCGACTCGATGGCACATAACAACAACAACAACAACTGATATTAACTGGTCTTCCTGTAGGCGATGGATATTATCCTATCACAGACAGTGCTATACCCACTCTGGCCTCACTCTCTTTCATTTTTACAATCTCACATGCCTTATTTTTGTTTATCTTCACTTATTTCTTTTGATCTAGTTGAAGTAGAATATTGACAAAAGGCATTAGACACATTACTTATAAAAGATAATATAAAATGATTTAAATTATTTCAGTAATGTCCGCAAAGGAAGTAGAATCTGATTTATATTCTGGAAATTATGGAATATTCCCATGCTTGACTGTAGCAGAGCAAAACCATGATAATAGAGGGAAAACAATTAGACACACTTTTATCAGTTACATTTTTTTTCTCATCCTTGATCCAGCCTTTCTGAACAAATGCAGTATTATCTTGTTGTAGTCCCTGTTCCTAAATTAAATCTATTTTATTACAGTTGTATTTAGACACACTTAATCAAATCTTCTCCTGTTGCGAAAATTCAAGTGCAAGTTTATATCTCATCTTGAAACACACTATGCCCTCTACCAGAGACCATGCACTAAGTGAGTGGGTTTTAGCGATCCTGCTGCTACTTGAGGACAATTGAGAAGTTGAGTTGCCACTTGGCCCAGGGTCTGATAAAAGGCATGCTGTTTTATATTCTCCACAGCCTTTCAAGTTTTCAAGTGTCTGTTGGACTCTAGCCAGACCAAAAGGTCAGTGATTCAAATCCACCAGCCTCTCCACAGGAGAAATATGTGGCAGTTTGTTTCCATAAAGATTTATAGCCTTGGAAACTCTATGGGGCAATTATACCCTGCCCTATAGGGTCACTTAGAGGTGGAATCCACTCGACAGCAGTAGGTTTGATTGTTCAGGTAGCTAGATCATTGCTTGGGAGTTAGGGGGAAAAAAAAACTGTCCTGGTTTCTTTCTTAACTGCGACATTGTCTATCAAATGACCTAGAAAAACAAAACAAACAAACAAAATCCTCTGTTATCTTTGTGACCCTGTTTTATCCCATTCTTACTGTAGGCCGAGATTTTACAGGTGATTGTGGAGTGACTTTGCTCCTGTAGTTAGTAGATAAATTGAAGGCAAACTAGAGAAAAGGGACAGGCTAAGGATGAATGGAGACCTTGTGTGATATAAACTGTTAACACATTCAGCTGCTAACTGAACAACTGGAGGTTCGAATGCAGAAAAAAGGCCTGGTAACCTTCTTCTGAAAAATCAGCCATTGAAAATCTACAAAGCACTGTTATGTATTGACACACATGAGGTCTCTATGAGTCAACAGTTTATAGAAGCTATATGTTGGCAATAGAGATTTGAAAATTAGAAAGGAGAGTCTGGTCACATAGTAATGGGAAATATGGAAAACTGAATATTTATGGGTATAGTTTCTCTTTGCTTAATAGGTAGCATTAACAAAGCATTCCTTTTTGTTTAGGATAAGAATAACATTTCCCTCATTTTCTTCTAATCTCATGGAATTTCTAATTCTAGTCAAAGAATTTAGCTAGCTACTTATGCCCATTGTGTAATTTTAATCCCTGAATACTAAAATGGTTACAATGCAGGAAGAGATTTGTTTAGAGATTCACAAAGCCAGGAAATAATGCTTTAGAAAATATGCTATCTGGTCTCCTTTCTCCTGGTCTTACCAGGATTGAAGAGCTGGGAACATCACCCAGAAATGGTGGTGGACCAGAAGGCAAGATGTTTGCATCTTTCATTTGGTTCTTAGTCAGGGATTATTCCAGTAGCAGCACATTGCTTATGATAAACAACTGGTCAAAAACAAAACAAAACAAATAACAATAGCTCTAGTGAGGTACACACACCTTAGAATAATCAATCATTTTAGATCAAAAGGACAGCATTTACCCAAGGACAAAGTTCAGAAGGGTTAGGAGAGAAAGAGAAATAGAAACAAGAAACACTAGAGTAAGGTAGTGGGATAAATGATGTTAATTAAGGGATCGAAAACACTGTGATGAAGCAAACGAGTATGAATTGTCGAATGTAAAATTCATGATCTGCTCTGCAAACCCTTACCCAATTCACAATGAAAAGTTATTTAAAAAGCAACATACATTTACTTCCCACTTATTAACAATGATAACTTTGAATTACTTTCCTTTTTTCCTTTAATCAATTTGTTCTGTATAAAATAGGTACATTATTTATTTTCTAGACTTTTTAAAATGACATTTAGAATGAATGCTGACGTACTCTTTTAGTAGTCTTTCATGATCACTACCTTGGTTATCTTTATGAAATGGTTGTCTCTAGGTGGCAGCATTTCAAGCTTTTAAAATGCATATTTAAAAATGTACAAAAAAAAAAAACGAGGTCTTCCCAAATGTGACTAATGATGCTTTGGGGATGCTTGGTATGACTGTCTAATTTACTGAGAAAAAGTAAGGCCTTGTTTGATTTTTAGGACATATTTGGCATTTACAAGGCAAGAAAATAATATTTGGCAGGAAAATAATTCTGTCTGCCCATGAAATAAAATGAGACTGTGTTTTGGTTTACAGCTGGACTTTTCAAGGATCATCAGTGTGATTCTTCATACACCAGACTCTGTAGAACTCTGTTAGAAAGAAAACCATTTCCAGCCACCATTCTCAGAGTGTGTGAGTGCAAAGAACATTCTGGGCTGCAGCTCAGAAAAGGGAAGGAGTTTGTACAAGGCACTAAGTGCCATGCCCAGAGCAATGTTAGATTGGTTGAAGATGACTGCAACTGCCTTTTTTTGACTGCCTACTATGTGCCAAATCCAACCTATTTATAAAACTATCCCTCATAATAACTGTAATTTCCATTTTACAGATGAAGGAACAGAGAGGTTAAGTGATCTTGCTTAAGGTAACACAATAAACAAAGTGGCAGAATGGGATTTGAACTCAGGCAGTCTCTCTCCAAACATTTTACTTTTAGTTACTATGCGATATATAGATATAGATATAGATATATCGATATATATAGATATCGATATATATAGATATAGATATATCAATGTTGTTGTTTGTTGTTATGTGCCATCGAGTCGGTTCCGACCCATAGCGACCCTGTACAGGGTTTCCGAGGGTGTAAATCTTTACGGGAGTAGAAAGCCTCATCTTTCTCCCGCGGAGCAGCTGGTAGTTTCGAACCGCTGACCTTAAGGTTCGCAGCCAGATTCGTAACCACTACGCTACCAGAGCTCCTTATATATCAATACATGTATATAAATTCCTACCAAGGGGAAAGGCCTGGAAAGAAAAAATGGAAAAGGCAGTATAGAATGGCTTTATTGGGCTTAAGGGAGAAAGAAACATCACTTTAAGCTCAAGGTTCTACAGAGTATTCTTCTAAAGGTTTTGTGTCTATTCTCTGACCTCATGCTTAAATTCAGTTCAGCACACATTTATTGAGAGCATCTTATGACCCAGGAATTGTGTAAATTTGTAGGAATATAAAGACAGGTAAGATTCAGATAGGACTCCACACTAGATCTTAGAAAGATGTACTTTATTTTATAACTCTTCTCAGGTGACAATTCTTTGCTGATATTCCTGATGTGGCAGAATGATGCAGTTAAACTGCAAAGTCCCCAAGGCATTCACGTTCCTTTCTAGAAGTTGACTCCACTTTTTGTTCACCCCTCAACTCATTCAGTGAAGTACAACAGAAAACGTCTTCACCAGATGAATCTGATTCACGATGTCCTCTGTGGTTATGACTCTTGTTGGATTACTGAAGAGCTTCTTAGACCACAAAATAGAATCATTTTAATAGAAGAAAAAAGTCCATTTTCTTCTTTCATCCCAATATTTTAGATCATTTTGGATTCTTGACTTGTTGTCTAAAAGCTCAGAAGTTATAAAATGTGAAAAGAGGATGTTGTTGTAGTTAGATGCCTTTGAGTCAGTACCTATTAATAGCAACCTTACACACAACAGAATGAAAAACTGCCGGATCCCGCACCAACCTCACCATCGTGGCTACGCTTGATCCCCTTGCTGCAGTCCAGTGCATTATCCCACTATGCCAATCCACCTCACTGGGGGACTTCCTCTTTTTCTGTGACCCTCCACTTTACCAAGCATCATGTCCTTCTCCAGAGACTGGTCCTTCCTGATAAAATGTCTGAATTATGAGAGATAACGTCTGGCTGTCCTGACTTCTAAAGAACATTCTGGCTGTACTTCTTCCAACATAGATTTGTTTGTTCTCCTGGCAGTCCATGGTACTTGGAACATTCTTTTCCAACACTATAACTCAAATGCATCAATTCTTCTATGGTCTTCCTAGACTCAGTTCCGACTCATATCTACCCTATATAGGGTTTATGAGGAGCAGCTGGTGAATTTGAACTGCTGAATTACTGGTTCAAACTGACCTTATGGTCTAGTGCATTGTCCCAGTGTCACACCAGGACTCCTCCTATAGGATAGGTATTTGAAATTCTCAAGTCAAGTTATTCACAAGGACTTTAAGAAACTCATTATTTCCATGGTTACGAATCAGGTTGTGAACCACAAGGTCAGCAGTTTGAAACTACCAGCTGTTCCGTGGGAGAGAGATGAGACTTTCTGCTCCTGTGAAGATTTACAGCCTCGGAAACCCTGTGCAGGGTCGTTATGAGTCGGAACCGACTCCACGGTATATTTAAATTGAAAGCTTATTGTTGCTATTAAGTGTTGATGAGTCCTGTTCCAACTCATAGCAACCTTGTATAGGGTTTCCTAGGAGCAGCTGGTGGGTTTGAACTGCCAACCTTGTGGTTTGAAGTTCAGTGCTGATCCTACAGTGCTGCACCAGGAGTCCAAAAGACTTCATACCCAACATGGGACTCAAACCTACAACCCTGAGATTAAGAGTCTCATGCTTTACCAACTGAGCTAGTCAGGCACCTGTGGCAAGTTTATAAGTAGAGATAATTTGGGGCCATGTTATTGGTGGCTCCCCAATCATTTAATAATAAAAATAACCAATATTTATTAAGTCAAACTCTATGCTAAGTGTTTAATATGTATCATCTCATTTAATCTTCCTATGAGGGAAGTAGTGTTTAAGTTCCACTTTAAGAAAAGGAAATTGAGGTTCAGCATGGTTGGTTGCTCAAAGTCACATAGCTTGATTTGGTAGAGTATGACTACCAATATTGGAGTCCTTTCTAACAGGGTCATGCTGTAGTTACTTTTCTAGACTGTCTGTGATACAGTCATTTTACATTTATTCATTGATCATTTTTAGTGTCCATTCATGAAGCATGCCGCAGTTGTTAGCCTTTCCTGACTACTTGAATTTTTGTGAATTTGCTGTGGGAAATAAATGATCCCTCAGTTATATTTCCTTACTGCTCCACATACCTTTTTATTTTATAACTAGTCATAGTCATCATTTTATATTCATTTGTATGATGTCATTATTGTCAATATTAGTTACCTATTAATATGTAACAAATTATTTCAAAACTTTGTGCCTTAAAAGTAACAACAACTTTACTATCTCATGATTATTGTGTGTCAGGAATTCAAATAAGTCACAGTAGGAGCATCTTATTTCTGTTTCATGAAGTCTGAAGCCTCACCTGGGGCTAGAACCATCTGAAGGCGTGTTCACTCTTGGCTGATTGATTTCACTGTCAGTCCTGGGCTTCCTCACAACATGGTGGCTGGGTTCCTGAGGCAAATAATCATGAGAGGGCGAGAGAGACAAAGACAGACACAAAGAGACAGAGAGAGAACACCAATGTGGACACTGCATTATTTTTTTGTTGTTGATTTCTTGAAATATGTTACACACCACACTGTACAATTCAGTCATTCATTCTAAGTGTATTGCATAATCCAATGCTTTTAATACATGTTCATATTTATATTTGTCAACTTTCATCACAATAAATTTTAGAATGCTTCCCTTGTCCCCAAAAGTTCTGACATTTTCAGTCAGTCCCTGCTTGTGCATCCAGGACCAGGTAAGCACTAATCAGCATTGTTTCTATAGCCTTGTCTTGTCTAGAAATTTCATTTAAATGAATTCATACCGTTTTTTGGGTATAGAATCTTTCACTTAGCAATGTTTTTGATGTTCATCCCTCTAGGTAATTTTATTAGTAGTCTGTTATTTGACTGTTGATAGTAGACATTATATTTGTTGTAGTTGCTGCTGTTATGTTCTGTCGAGTTGGTTCGGACCCATGGGGAACCTGTATACGGTCTCCAAGGAGTGGCTGGTGGGTTTGAACCACTGACATTTCAGTTAGTAGCCCACCGTTTATCCTACAGAGGCACACCATTATATTGTATTGTTGTTGTTGTTAAGTGTCGTCAAGTCAGTTGTGACTCATAGCGACCCTATTTAGAGTTTCCAAGGAACGGTTGGTGAATTTGAACTGCCAATCTTGTGGTTCAAAAAGACCTTGTGGTCCAGAGCATTATCCCACAGTGCCACACCAGGACTCAAGTCATTCTATTGTATGGTGGTAGTGGCTGTAAATCTTCACAGGAGCAGAAAGCCCCATCTTTCTGTGATGGAACAGCTGGTAGTTTTGAACTGTTGGACTTCAGGTTAGCATCCTGACTCGTAACCACTACACTATCAGAGCTCCTTGTTACATGGTATAGGCATATCTTATTAGATTTTCCTATTTTCCAGTTGATATACATTTCCATTTTCCTTTTTCTTTTCAGTTTCTAGCTAGCATGAATAGATGCTATGAACATTCACCTAAAAGTCTTTGAGTAGATACATATTTTTTCATTTCTCTAAGATAGATACCTAGGTATGGAATCCCAATTTGATATGCTCAATACCTTCATTCTTTTAACTGGAAATATTCTTTGAGTTCAAATTGTTGTTGTTGTTGTCAGGTGCCATCGAGTCGGAACCGACTCATAGCGACCCCATGCACAGCAGAACGAAACAATGCTCGATCCTGGGCCAACTTCACCACCGCTGCCACACTTGAGTCCATCAATGATGCCACCTGGC